GGCTGTCCTGGAATTCACTAATGTAGACCAGGCTGGCCTCGAACTCACAGAGATCTGTCTGCCTCTGCCTTCTGAGTGCTGGGATTAAAGGCATATGCTGCCATACTTTTTAAAAAGTGATCTTGCCATTGCTGAAAGGTAATCTCCTCGGTTTAGAGATGTAAAAAACAAAAGTTTGTGGGGAGGGGCTTAAATGACTCACCCCAGGGGGTCTGGAGTTTGACACTGTTTTCTGTTTCCTGGGAGGACCTTGCCATAGTCATAATGGGAGCTACTCTTCATGACTCCGTGCCATAGAAGACAGTTGACCATCTCCCACACATCCATATCCAGGGGCATCAGGCATTTGAGAGTGCATTGACATAGAACAGTGTATCAGGCAGACACACTGTGAACACACAGTGACGCAGACACAATGGTGGCTCTGGAGTTAATGCACCGTACTCTGCATTGTGCTGGGAGCCATCAAGTGACCATCCTGGTCCTATTGTCCACCTCAGAATCTCAGCCATCATTCAGTGTCCCTCCCGTACAACATCCAGCCCATCCCACTGTGTAGACTCCATCATTACACTGTCTGTATTCAGAGTCCTTGGTGATGTGAGCAAACCCCGTCTGCCTTTGGCCTCTTGGGTCTTCTGTCTAGTGGCCTGAGATAGTCTATAAAAACCTAAGCCGGTTTGTATCGCTGGAGACCTTGACTCCTCCATCGGCTCCTCTTTCTCAGAACCCAAGTCCTCCTGCCGCCTTCCTGGGAGGCCTGGGTGATCGACCCCCACAGTCTCTCTCTCTGCTCCTCTCCTGGCCACACCAGCCTCCAGGTGGCTTTCAGCACCGCAGGTTCCTTCCTGCTTTGCGGGCTTTGCCTCCGTCTGCCTGGAAGACTCCAGGCACCACTCACCCCTTCGCCTCTCTCAGGTTTCTGCCCAGCTGTGACCTTGCAGAGCCCTTCTTGCCCACCTTTGGAGGAAAAGTACCCCACACTGTGCTCCTCGCCTCTCCTTTGTTGTGTGTGTTTTTTATACACTGTTGCTATCACCCGATTTTATATTGTGTTACCATCATTTAGCATCTGTTCTCACCAAGAACGTCAGTCCTCAGAGGACACTGGCATTTGTCTGAGTTGTTCGGCAGGCGGGGCACCTGCTCATTAGTTCAGCCATCCGTCACTTTGTCCAGCGGACTCCACCACCAGTGTCCCCAGTGACCATGACAAAAGCCAGTCTCTTCTTCCACAGCATACAGCCCCGCATAGTAGGCACTCAATAAACCATAATCATATCACACTAGGCTTGCCTGTTAAACATTAATGGGCCTCTGGAACTAAGTGGCCTGTACCCTCCTTCTGTACCCTCCTTTTGTACCCTCCTTCTAGCTCCCATTAAATCAGCTATTAGTCATGCATGAGCTCAGGACTAACCTGGGCTATGTAACAAAATCTCATTTTAAAAAAAAAATTAGCCGGGCGGTGGTGGTGCATGCCTTTAATCCCAGAACTCGGGAGGCAGAGGCAGGAGGATCTCTGTGAGTTCGAGGCCAGCCTGGTCTACAGAGTGAGATCCAGGACAGCCACAAAGCTACACAGAGAAACCCTGTCTCAAAAAACCAAAAAAAAAAAAAATTAGTTTTTAGACTCTAGCCAAATTATTTTTCACGTCTCTTTGGCAGAATGAGGATAATGGTCACCTCTCAAATGGAAGTGTGTGTGTGGGGGGGGGGATCCTTGAGTTATACATGTAAATCACTTAAAATGTACCCAGCCCACAGCTGCGGTTGTTCACTCTAAACGGCGTGTTTTCATCGCTCCACAGATGCAGCAGGTAAACAGTTGCCAGCGTCCCAGCCAAGCCTCAGGTACTGTGCTCTGGAAAGAAGCTTCTCTGGGCCGGGCAGTGGTGGTGCACGCCTTTAATCCCAGCACTCGGGAGGCAGAGGCAGGCGGATCTCTGTGAGTTCGATCCCAGCCTGGTCTAGAAAGCAAGTTCCAGGACAGCCAGGACTCTGTTACACAGAGAAACCCTGTCTTGAAAAAAACCAAAAAAAAAAAAAAAAGAAGCTTCTCTGAGTCATTGAACAAATATTGGTCCCCTGTGTGTTCCAGGTGCTAGGTTAGACCGCAGGGTGTCAACGGGAACAAGACAAGTGGTCCCTCCCTTGTGGGAGCAGCTTCTAAGCTGTCAGGAAGTGATGTCCTTCCGTGTGTTACAGGCGGGAAGTGAACCAGCACGACGAAGATGCCAATGAGCTTCAGACCACTCCTGAGTTCCGAGCCCACGTGGCCAAGAAGCTGGGAGCCATGCTGGACAGGTGAGCAGGAGCAAGCACCCTTTATCTCATGATCCTCTTGCCTTAACCTCCCAGATTCTGGGACTACAATCTTGTGCCCCAAACCCAGCAAAAAAAAAAAGAAAAGAAAGAAAGAAAATTGTTTTAAATTTAAAAACAAAAGGTGCTTTTGTTGGTACCCGAAATGTCATCCTAAGTCTCGCACCTCCTCTCCCTCAGCTCCATCGCCATCTCAGAAGTGTGGAAGAAGCCGCGCAAGGCGGAGGTGCAGCAGGTGGCGGAGGAGGAGGAGGAGGAGGATGGTGAGTCCTTAAAGTGCTCATAAATGCTGCCGTGGGGAGGTGCCACTGGGTGGGTGGGTGCAGCGCCCTGGGAGGCACCGCTGTGTGTCTGCGGCGCCGTGGGGCCTTCCGGCAGCGCCACAGACACACAGCGGTGGCAGCACTGTGCCATGGGTTTCTCCTTGCATTTGCTCTCCCTGCACTCTGAGGCAGGAATTATGGTACCCCATTCCCAGAATGAGCCAGCTCTGAGACCCCTCACTTGGTACCGGGAGAAGCATCTTACCTCCTCAGCCCACAGTCTTTCCCACCCACTCTTGTCTGACCCTGTCCTGTACTTGGGCCTCTTTGGAGGCTGTCACAGGTAAGAGACTCAAGTGCTATCTTCCGGAAGCTTCTGAAGGCTGGGTGTGGTGGCATACACTTTTAATCCCTGCACTCGAGACAGAGGCAGGTGGATCTCTTGAGTTCGAGGCCAGCCTGGTCTATGTAGCAAGCTGCAGGACAGCAAGGACTATATAGAGAGACCCTGTCTCAAAACAAAATCCACCAGAAGCCTCTGAAGCTTGCTGTCTGGATTGGAGTCCCCACCCCCAATCCCTCCTTTCCTTCTCCCCCATACCCTGTGCTCCGGCTCCACAGGAGAGCAAGCGAAGCCCTTCCTTAGACAAGCTTCAGTTTACATGCACACGGCAGAGGTGCCCGAGCCACTGGACCGGATGCCTGAGGACAGGCTGTAGCCTCCGCACTGGAGGAAGGGTCGGTGCCAGCTTCTCCGATTGCTGACTCTGTCCCCACGATTCTTAGGCTTCCGCCTTTTCTTCACATCCATCCCCGGAGGCCATGAGAAGGAAGCTTCTCAGAAACCCTGCCGAAAGCGCCAGCCCCCCAGCTCCAGGTGAGAGCTCACAGCCTCTCCTCTCCTCTCCTGGCTGATCCCATGAAGTAGCTACGTGGCCCCAGTCAGGTCCAGACCAAGGGAAGAGGCCTATCAGATCACAGGACAGTGTGCCCCAACAGGAAGTGCACAGGGTCTTCTAGGGGGAGCTAAGGATCTCCACACGTCATGAGCAGCCATCTTGGGCCAGATGGCTCCCTTCGTCATCCTTGCCTCCTGAGACGCTCTGTGAGGTTTGGGTGCTCTCAAGGTCCTCATTGTAGATCAGAGTACTGAGGTCAGAGTTAAGGTCACGTGGCCCACAAGCCGAGAAGCTGACCTTGAGGCTGCCTCGCCCCTGAGCCCGAGCTGCTTGGCCGCCTCCACCTGGTCTGGAGGCGGCAGGGCAGCTGTGAGGCCCGTCCAGACACTGGCTAACCCAACTGCTCTCCCGGCAGCAGCGAAGACAGTGACGAGGAGTGGCAGAGATGCCGGGAGGCAGCTGTGTCCGCGTCGGACATTCTCCAGGAGTCAGCCATACACTGTCCTGCCGAGGTGGAGAGGGAGGCGGAGAAGAAGAAGAAGAAGCTGAAAAAGAAAGCCAGGAAGGAGGCCGACGTTGACTTGGCCGGAGCTGCAGGCCTGAAACCGGTAAAGGAGGCAGGCAGCGTCAACGGGGACCCAGCGTTTCTTGGGACCAAAAAGAAGAAAAGGAAGAAAAAGGCCAAGAAAGCCAGGGAGGCTTCCCCGTGCCCACCGGCAGAGCGTAATGAAAACTGACGTCAGACTGTAGGCACCATGGCCACCAGCTCTTGAAGATGAGGTGCCCACGGGGTCAAGGCAGGGCTAAGCCACACTCCCTCCAGGTTCCAGCACCGCCTCTGCCCACAAGTGACTTTAGTTGGGTCTGTCCAAGAGTCCAAGCAAAGGAGTGGGTGTGTGCAGAGAGGCCTGAGCAAGGGGATGGACTTGCGGTTCCAGAACATTCTATTACCTCAGGAAGGAGGGCTCTTCCAGCTTTTGAGACTGAGTCTCGGCTTCCATCTCCCCCACCTGCCCAGCCTGGTGTGACAAGTGGTCTCGAAGAGTGAGGGGGAGGGGTCTCCAAGCTACTGAAGCCCAGAAAAACTTTTATACCTCTTCCCCAGCCCACACAGACCTAACAACACTGTCTGGAAGAGAAGGAAAGGTATCCCCCTACTTTTCCCCAGAATTCTCTTACCCCAGATTTGTTAATATACTGTCCGTAGTAGTGTGTCTTAAGTCAGTTCAGTCTCTGAAAACCAGGTGCCAGAGTGCTGGGGACCTGCTTAGTGGTAGGTGCAGGCTTGGCCACAGGGCCTCACGTTCTGTCCCCAGCACCAAAGAGAAAAAGGAAAATAAATTATCAGGTGACCCAAGTCATAGACTAGGTGCTGCGCCTGCCCGGTACTGACCCCTGATTTTATTGTTCGTCTGAAAGAGTCTCTGTGTAGCTCACTCAAACTGGCCCGAGAGCTGCCAGTCTCCTGCTTCGGCCTCCTGAGCGGGATGACGAGAGTGAGGCGTCGGTGCTGGGGTGTTGGTGCTGGGGATCACACCTACACCGTCATGCTCACTAGGCAAGGGCTCTACCACTGAGCCACATCCTCAGCACAGAAAGTTGGGGAACATCTTAAATAAAAACCACGTGTGGGACCCTCCCATCCACACCCCATGACCTGCTTCCTCACCCCAGCTTCAAGACCCAGGAAATGGCACCACACGTGGACAGGGTTTCTTTCAGTGAATCTTCTGCAGGGAGGAGGCACAGATTCAGGTGGAGTCACCTTACCTCGTTTCCAGGTAAACAAGAGAAACGTGCAACCATGTGTCTGGAGTCTGCCTATGCCTCAGGTCCCCTGGCCTGCGCCTGGCTTCCCTCTGCCCTCCCTCCTGGCCACTGAGGGATAAGCAGGAAGCTCCCATTACATTTTTTTCATTGACTTTACTAAAAGTTAAATAAGTGTACAGACTTGTCCGTAGCTGGCTCTAAGCTGCAGGGGACACTGGCTCTCGCCTGGCCCTTCCTCAGTCCCAGACAGGAGCCCGCTAAGAGCCAGGTTCTCTGTAGTAGGCCCAAGGGTTCACAGAGCTGCTTTGCCCCTCACAGCCGCACTCAGGACCTTGGATGCCTCAGAATAGCTGCTGGTCCCCAGGCTTCAGCCCAGGCCAGTTAGGTGACTTCTCTCTGCTGGTCTCAACGCTCTCTCCACCAGACACTGCTCAGGCCTTGCCTTCTGAGTTCCGCCTCCCTCACAATGGAAGGAATTGTTGTCAGGGGCCCTAAAGCCAGAGGAGCTGATGGCCCAGGGTGTCGCCTCCGGGAGTCACACACCCTAAGGAACAGGGATGACAACCCCTTTCCCTGAAGTGGCCTTTCTAGTAGAGGCAAGATACCAGGCTGGCATCAAAGACATGTCCGTCCGAGGGAGCAAATGAGATCCTAGGACTGGAGAGGGGATGGCTCGGTTCGAGAAAGCCTAGAAGAGCCCTGCATGAGCCCCCAGAGCTCCCAGGCCTCACAGAACAGCTGCTTGGAAAACCCATGTTTGGGGTGGGGAGGATGATCCGCAAACAAGCATGTGGATCGCTGGCTGGAAGGATCTGGCGCAGGGTGGAATGGCCTGAGGATGCACAGGAGACAGAAGGCAGCGGTGGATCTAGGGCCTCAGGTCCTGTGGGGGCTGCAGGCTCTGACTGGGGGTGCCAACATCACAGGCTTCCCCCTCTGTTCCAAGTATCAAGTCTCCTATTCTGAGCAACGGGATCATCTTCCAAAACACTGCCCAGATCGATCTGTCTTCCAGTCGCTTGTGGTCCCCTTCTCAGGCTGAGACACCCCAGAGCCATCCCTCTGTGATGCTGGAGGAGCAGCTGGGGGATGAGAAGGCCAGCAGCCTATGGCAGGAGACACATGGCAGTCTCAGATGTCCTCCAAGCAGCATGGCTTGTGGTCCTTCTTGTCCCCTGTGCAGGCAGTATAGGCTCTGGGAACCCAGCACCTGAGAGGCAGTCACCATGGTTACTGGGAGGAAGAGGCCATCTGGGTGGAGATAAAAGTCTCGATGACACCATGGTTGGATGGCAGCAGGTGGCTGTGCCCGTTGGTGGAGTCGGAGCTCTGGTACAACACCAGGCTGCTGGAGGACACTGGAGAAGCAAATGAGGTCACTGGCTGTCAGCCAAGTCCCCTCTGACCTCCACCCCACCTACCCGTCCCTAGGGATACTCCAGAGGGAGAAGGCAGAGCCTCCTATTCTGAATCGACAGATCCCAGGAGCCCAAGTCAGCCCTCTCCCCTCAGGGCCTAGAGGGAGCCTCCCAGATGCCAGGCTGAGTCAACACTGACATGGCTGTTATTGGAAAAGCTGGTGTGTTTTTGCATTACTGGGGATCGAACCCAGGGCTTCGTGCTTGTATACAGCCCTTCAGAAGGCACTTTATAGATGTGGTTAACAGTGAATGGCAGAAGTTACCCTTGGCCGTGTGGGCGGGCCACATCTAATCAGAAGTCTTAAACTAGAGAGGAAGAAGCTAAAGCCTCCTAGAGAAGACATTCTTGGCTGAGACCATTGTGTCCTGCTGCCGTCCCGCTGTCCCTGTGTGTCCCAGCCTGCCACTGTGTCCCAGCCTGCCGCTGCTGTGCGGGACAGATGGCAGATGCGCTTGCCCTACAGCTGTGCTGCACAAGTCCCTGTACACAGTGTGAATGCCATCAACCCTGTCTTGAGGGATTCCAAACCGATGAAAATGACAGAGGGTGAGCTCCGGATCTGACCTGGTCCAACCTGTCTCCACCATAGCTGTGGGAGATGGCCCCTCACCTCCTTGAGTGTGCGTTTGCCCATCTGTACAAGGGGACAGTGTCTTCAATAACTGCTGTTACAGCTGTAAGGACCACGTGGGGGATCTGAGGCTCCATGGGATAGCGGCTTTCCTGAAGTCACAAAATTGGGGGTGGAGGACACCCCAGACCTCAGAGCCCAGCAGCCTCCATGACACTGTAGGCTATAAGCTGAGTAGGTGGAGCTGGACGGGCTGAGGGGTGCATGTCCATTATGATATAAGGACATGAGCCCTCCCAGTTTCCCAGATGAGGCCAGAGAGCCAGACTCCTAGGTGAAAGCTGAGTTTTTGGGGGTTTTTGTTTGGTTTGTTGTTTTGGTTTTTTGAGATGGGGTTTCTCTGTGTAGCCTTGGCTGTCCTGAAACTCACTCTGTAGACCAGGATGGCCTCGAACTCACAGAGATCCATCTCCCTGTGCCTCCCAAGTGCTGGGGTTCACCACCACACCCAGCAAAAGCTGAATTTTTAATGCTGGTCACTAAGCACTGAGCCAGGCCTGGGGAGATGGAATGGTGAGTAGGAATGCCTCAGGGTGGGTGAGACGTAAAGAAGCTGATGACCTCAGTTTAATCCTCGGGACCACATGGTGGAAGGAGAGAACCAACTCCTGAAAGCTGGCCTCTGACCTCCACACGTGAAGCACCCCCCATGCACCCTCAGTCCATCGCACACACCACCTCACATCCTACTGGGAGGCGGCAGAGTCCTCACCGGTGGGACTGGTGCTGAGCCGGTGGGCCGGCTGCAGGAGCTGGATGCTTGATGGGTCCTGGCTGGGGATGTGGACGGTGGTGCCTGGAGATGATGGTTCATGAAGCCCAGGCTCACTAGAGGCCTCTGTGTCTGAGGTGAAGACCTAGAGAACCAGAGTTAACACCCTGAGCCCATGGCATGGGAGGGTGGGGCTTCAGGTGGGGCTTCGGGAGGCAGGGCCTTACCTGCTTGGTGGGCGTGAGGCTGGCAAGGGCACTGAGGTTGGTATCTGTGATCAGCATGGTCTGCGGAAGCAGGCTTGTGTGGGTGTACTGGGCCACCTCGGGCTTGTGGCTGTAGAGGGCTGGGCAGAGAGGACACAGATAGATAATGGCTCCCTGGACCCTTCCCTCAAGACTGAGTACCCTGTAGGAAGTTGGCAGGGAGCCCGATGAATGCCCTGATGGAGCAGTGCTTGGGGATCCAGATGAGAGAGATGGACCCCTACCTTCCCATTATAGGGGCCTGCTCAGCAAACCAGATGGGGAGCAGCCAGGGGAAGGCCCAGCACCAATCCCAGCTCATTCTGTGTTTGTTCCCCCAGGTAGGAATACGACCCAGCTGTGTATAAGCAAATGAGGAGCAGAGGCACAGTGGGCCTGTGCTGAGTACAGGTGATGTAGTAGATGCGGATACTGCCGTACTAAATGCAGGTGGTACTGTTGTACCAAGTGCAGGTACTCTCTAGTACTGTGCTCAGTGTGCGATGCTAACTAAGCAAAGGGACCAGAGTAGCAAGCGCGGGTGTTGTAGCCTGAAGCTCAGGTGTGGTTGTGCCGAATGCAGGCCTCTGAAGGAGGCTGGTGGCCTCCATTTGGGGTGAGCAGGGCAGAGACTAGCAATGCCTCTATCTCCAGGATACCGCCAACATGAACGGTTCCACCTGGAGACTCTCCCAGAGACTTGAACTAGCACTAGCCTAGCACACAGTAATGGCACACTCTCCCAGGAACTCGGCTAAAAGCAAGGTGCCCACACAGACACAGATTCACTTTCAGCCTCACACAGGTCCCTAAGTCCCTGTCGCCATGCTGAAGTGCAAAAGGTCTGAACCCGAAGCGTTCCATAAGGGTGGCCCCGTGGCCCATTTGATGGACTGCCTTATGCAGACCTGGTGTGAGGCTATGTGAGTGTGCGTGCATAGGTGTGTGTGTGTCCACATACAAGTGTAGGCGTGTGAGGCCAATAGAACCCCAGCTGTTGTTCTTGGGTGCCACCCACCCTGTTTTCTGAGAAAGTTCTCTCTCTTGCCTGGAGCTCACCAAGTATGCTAGACTGGCTGGCCCGAGCCCCAGGGATCACCAGTGTGCCTCCACCTCCTCAGCTCTGGGTTACAAGAAGCGCATACACCACCATGTCCCACCCCCGCGTGGCTTCTGAAGGGTGAGTCTTCAGCACTTTACTGACTGAGCTATTTCCCCACAACCCTGCGTGAATCTTTAACCTACTTCCTGCGGTTCCCATCTCTGATCGCAGAAATAACAGTGCTCTGTGGACAGGTGCTGCCCACCCTGGACTAGGAGTCATATGTAACATGAGATATCCACAAGCCACCTTTCTAAAAGTGGAAAGGTCATAAACTGAAGGGTGCACTGCCCCAGGGGTTTCAGAGAATAGGCAGTGGCCTGCACTCCAGCACCCAAACAAAGCTGGGTACATGACCGATGGACGCCAGCACTGCACACATTGAAAAGCTCACATGAGCTCCTGTGCACACACAGAGAAGCAGGTTGGTGGCCCATAGATACCTGCACCACACACAGGCAGACCACAGCACCTGCTACCTACCCTATCTTGTGCCCACCCACAGCCGACCTCTAGCCCACCTCCCCTAGACCAACGTGAGGGACGCTCACCGTGGGGGCTCTGCAGCTGGGCCATGGTGGCCATGAAGGGGCTCTGGGCCACGTGACTCTGTACAGGGGGCATGAGAGGCTGCTGGTAGGAGGGGTGCAGCGGCTGGGAGAACTGGACCGGCTGCAGGGTGGTCAGGCTGCTGCCCATGCTGTTGATGACCGGCACGCTCTGTGCCTGGGTGGAGGCCAGACCTGGTGAGGACAGGCAGGAGTCAGCCAAGCCTCACGCCCGCCACCCTGTGTCCTCCCTAGACTCAGCCCAGACCCTTTGAGGGACACTATCCCCCTTTCCCAGAGCCTGTTGGTTTTAAGAGGAAGGAGAGGAGCTAAGAAATAGCCCTACAGTAGGACCACCACAAACAAGTGGCCATGAAGAGTCATCCTCCAGGCCAATAGCTCCATGTCTGTCCTGGCGGGAGAGGCAGGCTGGGAGTAGATTAGAGGTTGTCAGGCCTTCTTGGAGCCCTAGGGGTTCCTCAGCAGTGGCAAAGCCCTGGGCTTCTCTCTCTGCTCCCTCTTCTAGCAGCTCCCTATGTCTTAGATACTGAGCAATAGTTCCTGCATATAAAGGGTTTGAGACTTAAAAAAAAAAAAAGCTGAACTAGAAAACATCTCACACATACATCCTTACCCTGCTGTTTTCCCTACGGTCTCCTCAGACTGGATGATTTCAGTAATTTCTACACTGTGCTTATTGGTTCTGTTTGGTTCATTGTCTGGGATCGTGGGTACCTAGCCAGACGTTTAGAAAGTAGGTGTTGGATGGATGGATGGGTCCCAGTGGCTCTTCTTTCCAGATCCCAGACTCTGCAGGAGGCAAAGGGGCCCACTCACCCCCACCTGACTTACCAATGACCAGGGTGGAGGCGCCTGTGTTCGTGAACGTGGGGCCCAGGGAGGCGGGCTCCCCAGGCCCAATGGTCATGACCCCAGGCAGCGAAGCCATGATGAGGTTCTGCGGCTGCTGGTTGAGACCTGGAGATGTCTGCTCCAAGCTGTGCAGGGCTGTCAGGGTGCTGACTGGGGGCAGGGGACCCCCAGTGGCCGAGACCTGTGAGGAGGGTAAGGCAAGTTGAGTAGGAGTATCCCCACACTGTCTCCTAGCCATAGAAAATGGGGCTACGCAGGGTTTCCACACAGGGTGGAGCTGTTCACTCACCAGCTTGGCTTCAGTGCTCAGCAGGCTGCTGCTGGGCTCCAGGCCCGTGGGGGACACTTGGTGTAAGGCCGCAGACACTGTCACTAAGGGGCCGCCGCTGCTTGAGGGCACCTCGGTGGTGGCCTCACTGGTTGTAGGCTGTCCATACCGCACACCTGGAGTGGGGAGCAACGTCTAGCCTGAGCGCCCCCTTTCCCGTCCTCTGCTCCCCACAGACCTCACCACACCACTGTTTTTCTGGCACCCCGTCTTTCCTCCTGTGCTAGCTGCTTCCAGATCTTTTTATTCATGGTCCTGTGTCCCCCACTGCCTGGTGTGCCCCCCTTGGTGTAGAAGACACTCAAAGAACAATGGGACTGAGCCGAATCGGGGCTCAGAGAACTAAATGGAAGTCAACTGAGCTGAGCAGAGTGGGCTGCAATTGGCCAAATTAAATTACATCCCCTGAAATGGGCCCAGAAATGAGTTGAGCGAGACTGAGCTTTTGCTGAGCTGATCAAAATCCAATTGAATTGGACTAAATTGAATTGAGCTTTACAGCCAGCCTCTTATCCACAGGTGCTGCAGCCTCGGATTCAATCAATTGTTGGATCAAAAATATCTGAAAAAGCAATTCCACATTTGCACTGAACACATGTAGGTGGTTTTCTTGTCACTAGACCTCAGCCAATACTGTATAACTGTCTACATGGTGATTTCACTGTACTGGGTGTCGTAAGTCGTCTAGAAATGACTCAGTATACAGTAGGTTGTGCATGGGTGAGAGGTGTGTGCAAGAGGTTCTGGCCCCAATTCCCAGACACCAGGGGATACACTATGTATGACGAACTGGATTCCGTGGAATTAGTTTGGTCCAACTGAGTGGTTTGAATGGGAATTGGTTGGATCAAACTATGACCTGAACACGATTGAGTTGGACTGAAATGGTCTGAATGCCGAGGTGCCCTCAATGGATAGATCCAAAGTGCTCATGTTGCCCGGAAGTCACCGGAGGCGAGTTGTGGTGAACAGAGTGGGTTGGAGTGGGATGAACAGCGTGGCATGGGTGGGGTTGTAGTGAGTGGGCAGGACGGTGTGAGCCAGGGTGGATCCGGCTAATCGGAGTGGGGTGGAGTGCACAGTGTGAACTGGAGTGAGTGGAGAGAGTGGAGTGGGGTAAAGGATGGAAGGAAGTGTGAATTGAGCATAGTGGGAGGAGACAGCAGAAGGGGAAATGGAGTGGACGGAGTGAGGTGGATGGGGGAGGGGCGGAGCGTAGACGGAGTGGAGTGGATAGAGTGGAGGGGCGGAGTGCAGAGTATTTGGGGGTGGTTGTCACCCCTGGGTCGATCCCTCCAGCCCTTCTGCCCATCCACCACTTCTCTCCACCCCTATCCCAATGTCCCTACCGCACAGCACTCACCGTGGACCTTACTGGGGGAGAGGGCAGATGTGGACAGGCCCGGGGAGCTGTGAGCAGGCAGTGCAGGGCCCGGGCCTGGCCCCGGGGGAGGCCCGTTGTATGTGTCCATGGCCAGTTTGTGCCGGAAGGCTTCTTCCTTGCGCCGGTTGGCAAACCAGTTGTACACACGCACCTCCGTGACAAGGTTGGAGCCTAGGCCCTGTGCCTGAGACGGTGACACCCCCCTCTGGATGCACTCCGCCCTGCAAAGATGGCACCCATGAGCCCCCAGGGCAGACTCAGAGGAGGGAGGACCGTGCTGAGAAGTGGAGTCTACCCAAGTGCTGAATCTGACAGATCTGGATTACAGTACCAGTCCTGCTGTGTGACCCTGGACAAGTGACTTAGCCTCTCTGACCTCAGTCACAATGTGTACAAAACAGACATAGGGTTGTAGATGAGATGATAGGAGATGAGTGATCCCCCCCTCAAAGTGTTGCTGTGGTGGGTGGGGGATGCTGAGAATTCAATTCAAAACAATGGGAAGAAATGGACTCCTCTCAATGGACAGCAAGAGTTCTCAAGGACTGGTGAGCCCCCTGGGGACCCAGAGACACCACCCCTTCCCCGGCTTAGCGTCAGCCCCGCTAGACCACCACCCCACCTATTACACTCCTCCACCAAGGTCTCCCGCTCCTCCTTGCTGGGGTTCTTCTGCCTCTCGTAGGCCTGGAACAGGATCTGCTGGGATGCTGGGCCCCACTTGAACCGGTTCCTCCGTCCCTTTTTGGTCGGCAGCTCATCGCCTGTGGGCTCTTCAATCAGTCCCCCCTGGCCCGCGTGGGTGAATTCTGTCGGGACAGAGAGTGCGGTAAGTTGACCACGCCCACCTTCACCGTCGGCTCACCGGACCCGCCCCCATCCTCTGTCATGGAGCAGTTGGCAGCTAAGACTGAAGGCATCTCGTCTGGACTGGAGCAGTGAGTCAGTGGTAGAGAGCTTGCCTAACATGCAGGAAGTCTTGAGTCCAACCCAAAGCCAAGCCCCATCCACTGCTAAAAGAGGACTTGGTGCCATAAATCCCAGCACTCAAGAGGCAGAGGCAGGCAGAGCTCTGGGAGTTCAAGGCCAGCCTGCTCTGCATGTCGAATGCCAGATCAGCCAGAGCTACATAGAGAGATCCTGTCTTAAACAACAAACAATTCATTAATTAACTTGGCCCAGAGTGCAACATTCTTCACAGTTGTGGCCCATTCACACCCACTCACACTGCCTCTGAGGTAGCTAGCATCTTGCTTCTGTACACGCTGAGTGGCCACAGGATGGCAGGAGCCAGGACCAAGACCTGAGGTACCAGATGCTATGGTTTGGCCCTTAAACCTGAAACACTTTGTGTATGGTTAATAATTTTTGTTTGTATGTGCATGTAATGTGTGTGTGCCCACAGAGGCCTGAAAAGGGTGTTGCAGGTGATTCTGAAACACCTGATGTGGGTGCTGGGAATCGAACTTGAGTCCTCAGGAAGAGGAGCATTTTTTTTGAGACATATCTCACTATGCAACTCTGTCCTAGAACTTGGTATATAGATGAAGCTGGTCTCAAATTCACAGAGATCTGCCTGCCTTTGCCTCATGACTGCTGGGATTAAAGGCATGCACCACCACAGCTGGCCCTAAATAGGTACTTCTTTTTTTTGTTTTGTTTGGGGGTTTTTGTTTTTGTTGTTTTGGGTGGGGTGTTTGTTTGCTTGTTTTCTGAGACAGGTTTTCTCTGTGTAGACCTAGCTGTCCTGGAACTTGCTCTGTAGACCAGGCTGGCCTTGAACTCACAGAGAGACACCTTCTTCTACCTCCTGAGTGCTGGGATTAAAGGCATATGCCGCCACTGCCTGACGAATATGTGCTTCTTAAAGATGAACTTCAGTAACTATATGATAATATCAGTGTAATGGGTTACCCAAAAAATTTAAAGTTAAAACCACAATACAATACCACCATGTATACATCATGCAACTTTGGGACTGTGGGAGCCCATGCTCGGGTTCCTCGTGGCTTTACCCAGCAGGTCCGCATAGAGGATGATTAGGATCACAGGCCTGAGTGCAGGTGTCTGAGATGGTCTGCACTTGGCTGTGCTGGGGGAGGAGGTCTTTTGCTCCACCCCTTGGCGTCTCTATAAATACCCTGGCGCAGAGACAGTCGGGGCCCGTTGGAAAAGGTTCCAGGCCCTCTCGAGGCTATCCTTTATTTTCTATCTGTTTATCTCCGCAAGATTCTCCACAATAAATCCTTCTATCTAATATTTCCTGCTGCTCGCACTCAAGAAAACTCTGGGGAACTGTGGGGGTGGTGGGTAAACGCCCCACACGGGACCGGCCGTAAGCAGCCGTGGTGGAGGTCAGGACTGGTAACAACCCTTGCTGGAGGGGTTGCTAGGAAACGGCACTGTGCAGGTCTTCATCCAACGGGCAGCTGTGCTGCTCTGTTAGTTTTGCAAAGATGTGTTGGGAGAGCATTCTCACAGCTAAAATCCCAGCCCACTGGAGGCTGAGGCAGGAGGATTGCTGTAAGTTTGAGGTCAGCCTAGCTGCAGAGCAAGTTCCAGGCAAGCTGGGGCAACAGAGGGACCTTGCCTCAGAGGAATGAAGAAAAAGAAAAAAGAAAGGAGTGGGGGAGAGAAAAGGGGGGAAGTAAGTTAATTTAGACCAGGCTGGCCACTGCCCAGATGAATGGTACACTTCAGATCTGTGGACTGGGGCTGGGTGTGGTGGCACATGTTTTTAATCCCAGTACCCGGAAAGCAGAGGCAAGCAGATCTCTTGTGAGTTCAAGACCAGCCTGGTCTACATTGTGGGTTCCAGGCCAGCCAAGGCTACATAGTGAGACCCTGTCTCAAAACAAAAACAATAGCAACATCAAAAGCTCACCACCACCACTGAAAGATCTGTGGATTTTTGTATATTAGGCCTATTTTAAAGGATTTTTATTGTTATTAAAGTAAGTCGTCCAACTAAAAACCGGAAGACTGTTTTTCTCTCTGAGGTTGTTGATGACAGCCCAGGGCTCCCGGGACCAGTCTGTGCCCCTGTGAGGAGACCCCCTGACGGGATGCCCACAGAAGAGAAAACCAGCCAAAGGAGCCAACGTGGTGGCAGCTATGAGCTCGGCACCTGGGGGGTGGGGGCAGGAGGAGCAGTTCAAGAAACGACCCGCGGCTGGGCGGTGGGGGCACACTCCTTTAATCCCAGCATTGGGAGGCAGAGTCTGTGAGTTTGAGGATCTCTGTGAGTTCAAGGCCAGCCTGGTCCACAGAGCGAGATCCAGAACAGGCACCAAAACTACATGGAGAAACCCTGTCTCGGAGAAGAAGAGGAGGAGGAAAAGGAAGAGGAAGAAGCAGCAGCAGCCATCCTTGGCTGTGTAGCGAGTATGAGGGAGAGCAGGCTACACACGAGACCCTAGTCAAAAAAGAAGAAGAAGAAGAAGAAGAAGAAGAAGAAGAAGAAGAAGAAGAAGAAGAAGAAGAAGAAGAAGAAGAAGAAGAAGAAGAAAAGGAGGAAAGAGGAAAAGAAGGGAGGAGGGAAACAAAGCCAATCCAAGCTATGAAGTGTTTGAAAAAGTCAGTTAAGGCCCTGGAGGCAGCCATGCCTGAAACAGCCCTGGATCGCTCGTTCATGAGCAATAAATTCCTTTTTTTAAATTCTTAAATCAGTTTGAATTGGGGTTCTACTCCATTTTACTGAAAGAGCTCTAATACTTTGGGCTCATCTTGAACATTCTTCTCCCATCCTCCAGTTTCTCCCTTAAAGTTCCAAACTCTGGGCTGGGGGCTGGAGATATGGCTTCAGCACTGGCCGCTCTCCCAGAGGATCCAGTCCCCGCACCCACGTGGTGTGGTGGCTCACAACTTAGCGCCCAGGGACCCAGGGCCCTCTTCTGGCCTCCCTCTGCAGGCACGAGGCACACAGACAACTTATGTTGGCAAAAACACTCACACACACAAAATAAAATCGAACCAAACCCCTTGGGCTGCAGGGTTGCAAAACAGCTCCTGTGTGGAAGGTTCAAGGAACATTTCGGACTGGAGGCAGAAAGATGGTCAGGGAATTTGCCGTAAGACTGTCTCTTAGGAATGTCAGAAGTTATACCCGTAGTCTCACCAAGACAATCGCCTAAACATGAGCTGAACAAGGCAGACAAAGACATCAGCAATGGACATACCACAGCGGTCAGGGGAAGGGGAGCATGAGACCTCAACCCTACCCAAGAACTACGGACAACTTAGGATGCTGAGATCGGAAGAAACCGTCTTCCCCAGAGAAGAGCTCACAGATAGGTCATCCAGTTCCAGATGCTCAGCCCTGAAAACACTATACAGACCGAGCAGGTTGTATTTAGAGATACATGTCTATACACACACATATACACATGTGCATGTAACAACAATTAATGAAAAAAGAGACCATGCATTTGAGAGAGAGCAAGGAGAGGTACATGGGAGGGTTTAGAGGGAAGAGAGGTAAGGGAGAAATGATGTAATTATAGTCTCAAAAATGAAAGAAAGGAAGAAAAAGAAAAATTAAATAAAATAGATCTTAAAAAAAAAAAACCTCCGTCTGGTGGTCCAGTTGAGGTCATTGAGTGGCCAGCACTTTTACCCCCCAGCTATCTCATAACTGTTCAGCAACAATTTTTGTTGTTGATGATTTAGTTTTTTTGTTTTTTTGTTTTTTTTTTTAAGACAAGGTTTCTCTGTGTAGCTCAGGCTATCCTGGAACTTGCTCTGTATACCAAGCTGGCCTTGAACTCACAGAGATCTGCCTGCCTCTGCTGGGATTAAAGGCATGCGCCACTGCTGCCTGACTCCATCAACAATCTTAAAAGTACTTACTCTGCACCCCAACATCCCACATCTAGGAATTTTTCTATGTGGATGTTCTTTGCAAAAAAGGGTCATCAGAACCTATCAGAAAAACAGTCCCTCAGTAAGTGGCTAGTTAAACAAGCCACGATGTCTCCCAATTACAGCCAACTATTAGAAGCCTTAGAAAGAGTGATATCAAGTTGGATATAGCAGAACCCACTTGTCATCCTGGCACTTGGGAGGCTGAGTCAGCAATATCACAGGTTGAAGGCCAACCTGGGCTACATAGTGAGACCCTGTATCAAAAAGTAACCAAAGGTTTGGGAACTTAGCTCCGTGCATGGTAAAGCAAATGCCCAACGTGTGTGCGGCTTTGTGTTCAATCCTAAGTATGTTAGAGAGATCAGAATTTCATCAGCCTCTAAACCATCAGTTCTCAACATGTGGGTCGAGACCCCCACAGGGGATGCATATCAGATATTTACATGGGGATTCATAACAGGAGCAAAATTACAGTTATGAAGTAGCAATGAAATAATTTTATGGTTGGGGGTCACCACACCATGAGGAACTGTATTAAAGAGTCACCGAATTAGGAAAGCTGAGACCCACTGCTTAAGTATTAGTGTCTGAGCCTTCTCATGCTATTCCTCTTGATGGTGACACCCTTCTTTATACCTCCGCAGGGACACTTTAAGACCTAAGTAATGGTCGTGCTTCCCATGGGACCTTCCTGAAACCCCGGCTTCCTGAGATAGAAGGGCTTACTCTCCCCTCCACGATCTGCTCACCATTTTACTCAGCACTGAGCCCAGCACACAGTAAGTGCTCAGTTAATACTATTGCTGGCTTTTGTCATTAGCATATAAAATCCGTGTCTTACTAAATCATAGTGATCTCTCTGTTTCCCATTATTGAGCAGTGCATTCCTGGAAGGAGAGAGCCAGGGTGTGTAGCTGCAGATCCCCGGGACCGATACAGCTCCCTTCCCTCGGTGCCTTGGGCAGAGTGGCCAGTACATTTGGGGATGTCCTTCTGCTTCCTCTCAGTCTCACTTGTCTGTGTGATGGGGGTGGCGACACTCCCACCCCCCTATGTGCTGTGGATGGAGAGCTGCGGGCCCTGCCAGGGAGGACACAGGCTGGGGTCATTACTTACGCTGAGCCACTTCTCGCTGCTTGCGGACGTACCAGGTGTACAGAGCAGCCCGCTTCTGCGTCTTCATGGGGGTGCCCTTGTTGAGGTGCTGAGACAGGTGGGACTGGTTGAGACCGGTGGTGTCGACCACCTCCCGCTGCGGGATGTTGTGCTGTTGCAGATAGGACTTGACCATCTTCGCCACGCGCCATGGGTCCTCCCTGGAGGGGAGTGAGGACAGGGTCTGCTCAACAGCCCTTCATGACACCTCGGGTGAGGCTGGGTCCTGGGACTAGGGCCCTGCTCTGTGAGTAGGACCTGTATTAGGTCCCGTTCTAGGACACGTGGACACATGCACAGATTCCCACTGGAAGCAGGGAAGACCCTCACCTGTGGCTCCTTCGGAGTTCCTCCCCTCTTCTGAACCTGCTCACCTGTATGGGCGCGTGTGTGCGTATGTGCGCACGTGTGCTACAGTATGTGTGTGGAGGTCAGTTTTCTCTTTCCACCTTTTTTTTTTTTTTTTTTTTTTTTTTTTTTTTTTTTTTTTTTTTTTTTTTTTGGTTTTTCGAGACAGGGTTTCTCTGTGTAGTTTTGCGCCTTTTCCTGGAACTCACTTGGTAGCCCAGGCTGGCCTCGAACTCACAGAGATCCACCTGGCTCTGCCTCCCGAGTGCTGGGATTAAAGGCGTGCGCCACCACCGCCCGGCCTCTTTCCACCTTTATATGGGTCCGGCAGATCGAACTCAAGCCATCAGGTTTCTGCAGCAAGTGCTTTGCCCTGCTGAGCCCTCTCACAGGCCTTGTTAAGTGAGTTTTTTTTTTTTTTTTTCTTTTTTTTTTTTTCTTTTTTTTCTTTTTTTTTTTTGGTTTTTCGAGACAGGGTTTCTCTGTGTAGCTTTGCGCCTTTCCTGGAACTCGCTTTGGAGACCAGGCTGGCCTCGAACTCACAGAGATCCGCCTGGCTCTGCCTCCCAAGTGCTGGGATTAAAGGCGTGCGCCACCACCGCCCGGCTGAGTTTTAAACCACTGTTAAGGGTGGGAGACCTGTCTGGTTCCCAGAACCCAAAATGGCCTGACACAGAGTGTGCCATGGATGATATCCGAGTGAATGAGTGGATGGAGGACGGAGGGTTGATGAATGCATAGATGATGGATGGATGGATGATGGATGGATGATGGATAGATGATGGATGGATGATGGATGAATGGATGCATGGATGGATGGATGGATGGTTGCCTGGTTAGATAGATGCTGACTTGTTTGGTTGTTTTTTAGACAACTTAACATAAGCTATAGTTATCTGAGCAGAGGGGGACCACAAATTGAGAAAATGCCTCCATAAGATTGGCCTGTAGCTGGGCAGTGGTGGCACACACCTCTAATCCCAGCACACTGGAGGCAGAGGCAGGTGGATCTTTGAGTTCGAGGCCAGCCAGGTCTATAAATCAAATTCCAGGACAGTTGGGGCTTCACAGGGAAACCCTGTTTTGGGGTGGGGTTGGGGGAGGGAGATTGGCCTGTAGACAAGACTGTGGGGGTATTTTCTTAATAAGTGATTGATGTCAGAGGGACCAGACTTTTGTGGGCGAGGCCACCCCTGGACAGGTAGTCCTAGGATGTATAAGAAAGCAGGCTGAGACTGGGTAAAGGTGGTGCATGCCTTTAATCCCAGCACTCAGGAGGCAGAGCCAGGCGGATCTCTGAGTTCAAGGCCAGCCTGGTCTGTATACTGAGAAACAGGCCAACTGGGGCTGCACTGTGCAGTTCTGTCTCAGGAAGTAAAAGGGTTGGGCTGGGACTTTTCACGGAGCCTGCGCACATCCTCCATCTACTTTAATCAGCGCAGGTTACAACAGTGAGAAACACAGTCTATACAGGTTCAGTGCAGAGGCAATCCCATAAGGTATTCTCAGTCCCCAGCTGGTTGAATCTGCAGCTTTGGAACGCAGTGATACAGAGGACTGACTGCATCTAACATTTCAGCCTGAACCACAAACTGAAAGCGGGCCCCCAGCACTCTGAAGCCAGCCGGCAGCCTGCCTCCCAACACTTCCCTCCTCCCCAAAGTCAGCTCTGCCTGGAGAATTCGGGTCTCAGAGGCAGGGCCTGTGGGTCACGACCCCCTTCACAGGGATCACCTAAGACCACTGGAAAGCGGAGATTTACATGACTGTGCATAACAGTAGCAACATTACAGCTATGGAGCAGCAATGAAATAATTTTACAGTTGGGGGTCACCACATGAGGAACTGTACTTAAGGTCGCAGCATTAGGAATCTGAGAACCACTGGCTTAGACCCTCTGGCTCCCTCCTGTTATCAGCGGTTTCCAGACCGGCAGGGGCGCAGAGAAGGAGGCCGGGCAATCTAAACTGGTACAGCAAATAAAAAGGGACAAATGGCCTCTAGGGCTCACTGGGAGCCGCCTGAATCTCAAAGTAAACCCAGGAAGTGCGCTTCGTTTGGACCCTGGCTCCAGCTCGGACGAAATTCTAGTTCAGAAAAGCAAATATTTCTCATCGCTGGGGACCCCCCACCCCCTGCAGACTCCTCCCGCCTCCTTTTTCACCCCATGTTCAGGGGCTTCCTGAAGCCTCACCCCTCCTCCCTTCCCTGGGGGCCGGTCAGGGCTAGGAGGGAAGTGGGGGCAAAGTCCAGCTTCTGCTAACATATTTATCTGGTGGCCTCCCTTCGCTGGCAAGGGCAGCCCTCCACCTGCTCTCTCCCCTCCCTCTCGCCCTCACCTTTCTCCTCCCTCCCCTGCAGGGAGACTGGTCACTTAGCTCTCAGGACAGGTGGGGCTTTTCTCATATTCTGTCAGGGTGTCTCTGATTCATATTCTCTCTGTATGTCTCTGTGTCTCTCTCACTGTCTCTCTCTCTGTCTCAGTCTCTCTCCTTCCTTCCCTTCCTTCCTCTCCCCGTCCCTAACCTCACCCTCTCTCTCCCCGCTCCATCTCTAATTCTCTTGATTTCTCCTATGCTAGGTCAAATGGAATAATAGATACCGCAGCCACCCCCCACAAACACACACAGAAACAGAAGACGGCATTTGAATGGGAGCGGAAGTGTTCAAAGTGATAGGAACTTGTGTTTTGTTTGGGGGAGGGTGGCTGAAGCAAGGTCTCATTGTATAGCCTTGGCTGGCCTGGAACTCACAGAGATCCTCCTGCCTCTGCCTCTCCAGTGCTGGGATTAAAGGCATGCCCATCACACCTGTTTTTTAAACAGTTCTTTTCACATCAGCAGAAAGTGATTATGAAATGCCAGACAGAGCCAGGGGTGACCTCAGCATTGAGAGGTCCTGTCTCAAAACAATATATGAAAAATAAAAAATGCCAGAGCTGAAAGGACTCATCCTCTGTCTTTTTCTGGGAGAAGTCATCTGTGCCACTCTTGGGGGGCAGATTTACTGAATTAGTCTGTTTCTCTCTCCCTCTTCCTCCCCTCTTCCTTTCCTCCCTCCCCCCTCACACATGTGTGCAAGCATATGCACACTCATTCTGACTCTGCCGGAAGAAGTAAATGAGTCCCCAGTAGGGATGAAGGCTTTGGGGCCGAGCCTGGCCCACAGCAAGGGTTCATGAGTGGAATGATATAGTTATCATCATCATCATCATCATCATCACTGCGGTTCTCTGTACCCCATCCCCACAGCAGAACCCAGAAGAGTGATGATCTGCCTTCATCTTCTCCTCCCTATTCTGGATTCAAACAGGTGTCCCCAGCGTCAGGCCTTTGGTTCTCTGATATCCAGAGCCATGGAGCTAAGAGACCAGACTGAAGGGCCACTCCTCTGGAGAGGAAGTCCAATTCTCAGTGGGGGTTGGGGGTAGGGCTTAGATCTAGGAAGATTCCCAGCTCTGCTACCCACTTTCTGAATGGCCTTGCAATGTGGCTTAACATCCATGCCCCCCGCCCCCCCGCATTTCTTCATATATAAAGTAGGACTAAAGGTATTTCCTATTTCTCAGGCGGGGATCTAGCTCAATTGGTAAGCACTTGCCAACCATGCCCGGAGCCCTGGATTCAGTCCCAGCATCACATAAAACTGGGTGCCAGTTGTGGCAGCACACACCTTTAATCCTAAAGTTCCGGGGGTGGAGGCAGAGGCAGACAGATCCCTGAGTTCAAAGCCTGCCTGGTCTACAAAGTGAGTTCTAGGACAGCCCAGCTACACAAAAAAGCCCTGTTTCAAAAAAAAAAAAAATCAAAAAACAAAACAGGTACTGTGTCACAGGCCTGTAATCTCAGCACAGATTACAGAGGCAGGAGGATCAGGAGTTCAAGGTCACCCTTGATATATCAAGCTTGGGGCTATACTTATGATCCTGTCTCAAGTTTGTGTGTGTGTGTGTGTGTGTGTGTGTGTGTGTGTGTGTGTGTGTGTGTGTGTGTTTTAGAAATTCCAGAGGGAAATCCAAGTTTAATACACTTTTAAACCCTTTGTGAGGGTCTTTGGTTTGGTTTGGTTTTTTTTTTTTTTTTTTTTTTTTTTTTTTTTTTTGGTTTTTCGAGACAGGGTTTCTCTGTGCAGCTTTGCGCCTTTCCTGGGACTCACTTGGTAGCCCAGGCTGGCCTCGAACTCACAGAGATCCGCCTGGCTCTGCCTCCCAAGTGCTGGGATTAAAGGCGTGCGCCACCACCGCCCGGCCTGGTTTGGTTTTTGGTTGCTTTTTTAAAAATGTTATTTATTTTTTTCGTGTATACCAATGTATACATGTGCATATATTTTGCCTGCATGTATGTGTGTGGGGGGGTGTTGGATCCTCTGGAACTGGAGTTACAGATAGTTATGAGCTGTCATGTGGAATTGAACCTGGGTTCATTTGGAAGAGCAGCCAGTGCTCTTAAACACTGAGCCATCTCTCCAGCCCTGGTATTTTTGGTTTTTTGAAATAGGGTTTGTCTGTGTAGCCTTGGCTATCCTGGAACTCACTCTGTAGACCAGGCTGTCCTTGGACTCAGAGATCTGCCTGCCTCTGCCTCCTGAGTGCTGGCTTAAGGCGTGCACCACCACCACCCAGCAGCCTTTTGTGAGTTTTAAAGCCCCAAGTGGGAAAGGATTTCTGAAGGTCAAGCTGAGCCGCAAAAATGACTGGGGGTGCGGGGCGGCGAACACACAAAGACAGGCATGGAAATCAAGAGCACTGTGCAGACGTGGGCTAAGCCATCTCAGGCCTGAGTCTGGCCTTACTGCCTGAGGGAATCGTTTTGCCTCATTGAACCTTCCTCTGCTCATCTGTGAAATGGGACTACACGTGTTACACACTAAGCTCTGTACCGCTTAGTGTGTGTCGTGCTCTTGACCTGGTGACTGAGTGTTGTCCTCACGAAGAAACTGGGGCTCAGGGACAGAACCCACCTAGCAGGCTAGAAAGGGGCAGAGCTGGGATGGGAACCAAGCAAGGCAAGCCACTGTCCAGTGAAGCATCCTGCTTGCCGCCTGCCCCTGGGCCCCCAGCTGGAAGAACCTTGCTGCTGCGCGGCAGGGAGGGTCAGGAAACAACCAGGATGGCATGGCGTTGAAGCAGTTGGCAGACAGGACACGGCTCTGGATCCCAAGTGTTCCCCTAGGGAGGAGTAGGAGGTGTCCTCAGGGATGTCTAATCACTTGTTCACTCATGCCTGGTGTATCAAGGCTGGAAGGGGCGGGGGGGGGGGGGGGGGGCGGGGATCGGGCAAGTGGTGACGTCACCAACTTTTCCCTGAAGATATGTGAGGCCACTGCAGATACCCCAGTTCTCCCCTCAGATCTCTATTCTTCAGATCTCTGCTGCGGGACCTTGGGCAAGTCTCTTTCCCTCCCCTGGGAAAGAGAGACAAGATCACATCAGGAGACAAGAAATGAACAAAGAGACTAAATAAATAAATAAACGATGAAGGGGCCGGAGAAAGTAGGCAGACTCAGTGAAGGGGAGAGAAAGTGGGGTACAGCCCACGTGCAGCTAGGGTGCTAAGAGCCAAGGAAGAAGGTGGGGGAAAGGGTCCTGAGCAGGAAGAACAGGACAGGCAAAGGCCGTGAGGTAGAAATCAGTTTGTGCATCCAGGACCAGCAAAGTCAGCATCTCAGGTACAAAGAAGGGATATAGAGGGGAGGGAGCCTGGGGGAGGGGGGCAGAAGGCTAGGGGAGGGGAGGGATGAGTAGAAATAGAACCAAGGTGCAGAGTTTGTCTTTATTCCTTGTCTATAGTGACACTGAGGCAGGGGAGGGGAAGAGACTTGCCCAAGGTCACACGGTAGAGATCTGAAGGAGAATTGGGGTGTCTGCAGTGGTCTCACACATGAGGCATATGGGGGTCAGACCCCAGACCCACCTCTCCCTCTTCCAAATGTGGGTCTTTGAGCCAACAGCTCCCATGAGGAGTTAGTCCTTCTCACCCCCTCTTCCAGCCTCAACCTCCCCACGACCCAGACCTTTATGGGGGGGTCCTCCAACCCTCTCCCCAGAGTTCTCACCCCCCTGTCCTAAAACTCGAGGCCCCACTTTTGTCCCTGGGACAGTTTCAGGTCCCCTTTGTTACCTGAACAATAAGTAACCCGGGTAGTTAGTTATAAACTCCGCAGGGACAAGGAGCTGGTTGATAATTTATAGCAACATCTCGAATTTAAATGGAAAGCAAATAGCGTGCTGTTGGCATTAAAGAAAACCAACCTGGGAGGGTGGAACTCCAGCCTCCTCCCAGCTCAGCCTCTCTCCCCTGCCCCTTCTCCCAGCTGCTCCGAGACCCTCTGCCTCCCTGGCTCCTCTGCTCTCCCAGCTCCTCCAGCCCTCTCCCTCCTCATCCTCCCCGTGGTCCCTCTCCCTGTCGGCCCCCAGGGAGCCCTTTGACCTCTGCTCAGCTGCTCTGGACCAAGCCCTACTCCAGCCTCTACTTCCCCCACCGTGGGGGCTGCTGATCAAGAGGTGCCTACCCTAGCCAGGTAAGAAGACCCGTGGCATCCCTGTCCCCTGAGCCTCACACCTGAGCCCCTAGTCCCACCTGGCGCCCCTGAACAGGTCAGGCCCGGCCCCACCCTATCCAGGTTTCTTGTGCCCTGGGTCTGGCAATACCTGGCTGGCCCTTTGCCCCTCCCCTGCAGCGAGGCAGCCCTTTGCCCTCCTCTTCCTGCCAAGGCAGGGGGCCTGACTGCTCCCCTGCCCCTTGCCCAAGGCCCAGGGAGGTTCCCCAACACTTCCAGAAATGCTGGGCTCCACCAGCCCTCCCCCACCCCAAGTCAGGATCAGGACCTTGGACAGAAAAGCAGCGGCTCCCTGAGTGTTCTCCGGAGACTGTTGGCAAACTCCTCAGCCAGCCCTCAGGCCCCTCCTTCACAGCTCCTGCCCGAGTCTGAGCCTCGGTTTCCCTATCTGTGAAGCTGATTTAGTAAGAGCCTTCTCCCTCTGGGGGCTCACCTGCATATTATGAGAATTCAGGCACCGTGCGGGAAAGCCAACAGAAAGTAGAGAGCGGGGAGATATTCGCGTGAAAGTTGTGTCGGCTTTGGGAATGGGGGGGGAGGGGATGTTGCTCCCCACAGCCCCCAGGTCACCCTCCCCCCACCCTGGTGTTCCGATTCTCCACCCCCCTACTGGGCATCTCCCAGCCACCATCCCTACAAGTTAATGATCACAGGCCTTATCAGAGCCTTTTGCTATTTATAAATTTATAAAACAAAAGAAATAATAAAGTGCATGGGTAATTAGTAACCAGGTCAGCTTTGCTGAGGAGAGGGGAGCCATCAAGACTGGGACCCACCCAGCACTCCCGGAGACAGGGAGCCAGACAACGGATGAGGGGGTATGGTATGGGAGGCCTCTAAACCTGCCATCTGGCCAGGTTGAGGGGCATGTGGCCATGCAGGGAAGTGGTCACCCCTAGGCTCCATCTGTCTCAGGTAAGAAATCCCCCGGCTTACCCAGCCAGATGCTTAAGGCCCCGGGGTGTCCCAGAAATCCCCTAAAACCCCCACCTCACCCCAGCTTCCTCAGAAGCTTTGGGGCCCTCAAACCTGGGATCTGACCACCTAGCAAAGAGGGTGGAATTGGTGGGAGCATAAATGACCACAGTGGCTGAAGATTCCTGTCACCCTCTGAGGCTTGGTTCCTTTGTCCTCCGTCTCAAAGTGACCTGGGGCCTGCGCCTACTTCCTAAGGTCCGGGCTGCAGACAGTAGCCCACAGACACGGCTATGTGGGAAGAGCAGAGGAAAGGGTCCGGCAAGAACACCTTGAGCGCTCTCCCCTCTTGGCCACCAGCCTCAAGTCCACAGAGGACTCTAGACGGGAAGTGGGCCGCTATGGGCTCCTTCCGGGGTGCTGGGCACAGGGTGGGGTCCTTACTGCAGAAGTGTCTCCACCACGGCTTTCTGGTGGGCTGCCTCCTCCGGGCTGAGGTTCTCCAACTCTTTCAGAATGGGTGGCGCGAAGTCTTCCCCATCGTCATCCGTGTCCTCCTCCGAGCCACGCGTCTCCCCCAGGCCATTGGGCAGCTCGGCCAGGTCTCCTCGACTCCCGCCGCAGGACTCACCCTTGTCCAGGGGACCATCTCCACCCATCAGGTAGGGCCCTGGCTCCCCCAAGGCCTGAATCAGAGCCTCCTTGCTCAGGCCGGACTCGAGCAGGGCAGCCAGGAGCTCCGTCTGCAGCTGGCTGAGCTTAGAAACCATGGCTCCACTACCACCAGGCCACGCGGCCCAAGGCCACTGGGCTAGCCGCCTCCCCCACCCACGGCCGGTGTCTACTTGCCGGCAGGCTGGCAGTCACGAACCAGGCTTGCTGCACCCACTGCCCCCCCAAATCCCACTAGTCAAGCCCTGTGAGCACCCCCAACCCCCAACCCTGGCCCCAGCGGCCAGTGAATCAGGGCCCCTGCCTGCTCTGTTTACATTGGAGCTGGGGAAATTCTCCAAGGTTCATATTTATCCGTGTGCTTAGCGAAGGGGCTGAACTTTGGACTTCAGCCTTGCAAAGTGCAGGCCTCATGGCAGTGAGAGCATCCGGACCAGGAGCCATGGCCTGCGATTGGGAGTGCTCCGAGCAGAAGGGCGGGTGGGGGAGGTAGAGCCGGGCCAGGGGCACGGTCATAGAGGTACCAGAGCCAGAAGTCCTCTGAGAGCAGCGCTAGGTCCCACTGCCCAAGGATCTCGGTTCTTTTCAGCCCCGGGGCAGGAGAACTTTAAAAGCGTATTTCTTTGGGTCACTGAAGCAGCAGGAAGCTCTGGGCCACTGAGCCAGTTCTCAAGGGCAGAGTTAGGTCACATTGCCTCAGTGGGGTCACTGCACCTCCATCCAAGGTCAACACCAGACTCCTGGTGGGGAAAGCTTAAGACTTGTGTCTTAACATTTCAGACTTGTGTGTTGATATCTATGCCCTTCCCATCATTGTATGATCCGGACCAGGAGGGGGTGTGTGTGTGTGTGTGTGTGTGTGTGTGTGTGTGTGTGTGTGTGTGTGTGTTGTTGTTGTTGTTGTTGTTGCTGTTGTTGTTTTTCGAGACAGTCTTACTGTGTAGTACAGGTTGACCTTGAACTTCCAATCCTCCTGCCTCTACCTCCCAAGTGCTGGGATTACAAGCCTGTGCCACAGCCAATCTTACGAAATGCTGGGGATCAAACCCAGGGTCTTATGTATCCTAGGCGAGGACTCTGCCAACTGAGCCACACCCCCAGCCCCCAAAATGCATCTTTTAACTTTTCTCAAGTATAATTTTCTTCAGTACTACTTAATGAAAACACTCGATATTTTTGTTTCTCTTTTTGTGTGCGTGTGTGTGTGCATGCATACGTGCGTGCGTGTGTGCGTGTGTGCGTGCGACAGCAGCTCGGGTGTGGAGGTCAGAGGACAGCAGCAGGAGTCAGTTCCCTTCCACTGTATGGGAGCTCAGGTGGTCAGACTTGGCCACGGCACATTTACCTGCTGAGCCGTCTTGCTGCCTTTTGAAATGTTCGCTTAGCAGGTTCAGTGTGTCCCCGGCACTGTGTCACACCATCCAATCAATTTAGAGCATTTTCATCATCCCAAGAGAAACCCCACATCTGCTGAGCGGCCACTCCCCATGCGGGTCTCTAGCCCAGCCTCTGGCAACCACGGACCTACCATCCCTCCTTGCCTCCCTCCCTGCACTTGCCTCTTCTTAGCATTCGATTTTCAAAGCTCACTCATCCAGAGCACGAATTTATCCCCATCTATCCCTTCTCTGGTGAATAAAGGGCCATTACTTCAAGGAGACATGGCACTTCCCCATGCATCCCTGGGTGGCTAATTATGGTCCCCCACCTTTGAACTGTGGTGACCACGCTTCCCACAGCATCCACACTCAAGTTTTCCTGTGAATGTGCGCCTTCCATTCTTTCATTCATCAAAGAGATATATCATATGGACAAGGAGTTCTGGACCAGCCTGGGCTACATACTATACATTAATTCTAAAGGCCTGTGGATAAAACAGCAAACTTCTCATTGGGGACAGGCCCATCCTCCCTGCCTTCATCCTAGCCAGGCCAGCTGTTCTGCCAGGAGGGAGCTTGGCTCTCATGTTCCCCAGTGAAAGCCTTTTCCCAGTCAAAGAGCTGCCCCTAAACTGGGCTGTTTCCAGAACCTTCAAGGTTCTTTGGAGCCAAGGTCAAGTTTTGCAGTGGAGGAAACTACAGTCAGAAAGCCTCCAGGACAGCAGCAGGCAAGAATGCATCCGGTGAGCCAAGCACCCGAGACTGTCAGCCATGACCCTTCCCATGACCCTTCCCATGTCTGGCGTTCCACACACAGGAATCACGGTCGACAATCATGCCACCAGTTACACGTGGCTACCAAGACCTCGAATGGTGGCTGAGACCTCTTGTTGCAATGGTGTTATTTTTGATAAACTGGGTTACATTTTAAAATAAAAACCAAATGAAATGTTAAAAGGGCTGAATACGTAGCTCAGCTGTAAAGCACATCCTGGGCACACATGGGCCCCTGAGTTCTATTACCCCCTCTCCCCCGACATTTTAAATGCCCCCCCTGCCGCATTTAAAAAATGATTAAGTTAAAGTTTAAAGTAATTTAAATTGCATTTCATCAAAATGAAATTCATTATCATCGTAGTATATTGCACTTAATTATAATTAATTTTAGATTGTTTTATAGTTTACTTATTCTGCTGGCTAGTTCTATGTCAGCTTGACACAAGCCAGAGTCATTTGAGAAACGGGAACCCCAACTGAGAAAATGTCTCCACTGGGTTGGCCTGTGATGAGTTTTCTTGATGATTGGTGTGGGAGGGCCCAGCTCACTTGGGGCGGTGTACCCATGGGCAGGTGGTCTTAGATAGTATAAGAAAACAGTCTGAGCGAGCCGTGAGGAACAAGCCAGTGAGCATCGCCCCGCCATGGCCTCTGCATCAGCTGCTGCCTCCAGGTTCCTGCCCTGCTTGAGTTCCTGTCCTGACTTCCCTCAGAAGTGGAGTGTGACCTGAGAGCTGTAAGCTGAAATAAACCCTTTCCTCCCCAAGGTGCTGTTGGTCATAATATTTTATCACAACAATAAAAATCTTAGCCACGACATTTTCTTATTTACTTTCTATTTCTGTTTTTTTTTTTTTTTTTTAAAGATTTTATTTATTTATTATGTATACAGTGTTCTGCCTGCATGTATGTCTGCACACCAGAAGAGGGCACCATATCTCATTACAGATGGTTGTGAGCCACCATGTGGTTGCTGGGAATTGAACTCAGGACCTCTGGAAGAACAGTCAGTACTCTTAACCTCTGAGCCATCTCTCCAGCCCCTCTATTTCTGTTTTTTTCTTCTTCTTTTCTTTTTTTTTTTTTTAAGTGTGTTGCCATGGCACACATATGGAGTCAGAGGAAAATTTGGTAGTGTCCATTCTCTCCTTTCACCTTCCCTGGGTTCTAGGGACCAAACTCTGGTTCCAGGGTCCAACTGAGGTTGTCAGACTTGCACTGGTCACCACTGAACCGACTTACTGGCTCCACTTTGGTTTGGTTTGGTTTTGAGGCAGGGTCTCACTATGTCCTAGAACTTGCTATGTAGACCAGGCTGGCCCTAAACTTTCAGAGATCTGCCTGCCTCTATCTCTGGAGTGCTGGGATTAAAGATATGCATGAATAAGCCGGGCGGTGGTGGCACACGCCTTTAATCCCAGCACTCGGGAGGCAGAGCCAGGTGGATCTCTGTGAGTTCGAGGCCAGCCTGGGCTACCAAGTGAGTTCCAGGAAAGGCGCAAAACTACACAGAGAAACCCTGTCTCGAAAAACCAAAAAAAAAAAAAAAAAAAAAAAAAGATATGCATGAATAACCATGCCTACTACTATGAGTGTTGATAGTTTTTAACTATTATTATTACTATTTTTATTATTATTATTATCACTTATTTTAAGACAGGGTCTCTTTACATAGTAAGGTTTGGTTTGTTGTTTTGTTTTTTAAGACAAGGTTTCACTAAGTAGCTGAGGTTGGCCTCAGACTCATAATCCTCCTGCCTCAGACTCCCAAGTGATAAGATTATAGACATGTGCCACTATGCCTGACAGATAATTTTTCATTTAAAAAGTTTTGTAATTAGATGGAAGCAGAAGGATCATGAGTTTAAGGTTAATTTCAGCTACATAGTGAACTTGACTAGCCTGGACTAGGTGAGACTTTGTCTCCAAAATAAAATAAAAAGCCAAGCATGGTAGCACATGCCTGTAATCCCAGCACTTGGGAGGCAGAAGCAGGCAGCTGTCTGTGAGTTCAAGGCCAGCCTGGTCTACATACAAAGTTTCAACAGACAGGGCTACATAGTGAGACCGTATCTCAAAGAGAAAGAGAGAGAGGAAAAAGAAAACACCAATAAATAAATGAAAATAACAAAAACTCCCTTCATTTCTTTTCTCTCTCACTGCTTACTTCTGGTTTTTCATTACTTAGTGATCTATGGAGCCCAAGGGCTAGGATTACAGGTACAGGCTACACCCAGTTTCTTTCTGCCTTTTTAGTGTTGCTACTGAGATTTGTAACAGTTCTGTCGTGGCTCTGGGGCAGAGCTCGGGCCCAGCATGTGCCTCACAGTCTCCGCTGGCCCACGCTACTTTGGACTCCACTGAGGAATTACTGTGCTGGTTGATATCGCCAGCGGGACAGGACCTACAGTCTCTGAAAGGGCAAACCTCTGACATGCCGTGAGGGACTACCTAGACGAGGTTGAGGTGGGGAGACCCACTCTCAATGGGGGTGACACATTCCGTCATCTGGGGACAGCATGAGAGGAGGAAGCAAGCCGAAGGCCAGCATCATCTCTCTCTGCTTCCTGACTGTGGATGCCGCGTGACCTCACACTCCTGCCTCCTTCACTGTGGTGGGTCACAAGCCCCTACCCCCCAACTATGAGTCCAAATAAACCCTTCCCTCATAGGTAGGTCCTGTGTTTGCCAGGTATCATCAATCAGAGCAAGAAGAAAAGTAGCTACCTGGTTATGCTGACTGGTTGTTGGTTTTCTAGAATGTGAGCCCCGTGAGGGTGGAGGTCTTCTCCGATTTCTTCACAGGTATATTCCCAGAGCCTAGCATAGTGCCTGGGAATAAAGTATAGAGCGCCTAAACAGTCGATGCTCAATAAATGTTTGCTAAATAAACCTCATTACAACTAACTGTGTTTTATGGGTCTGCTGTGTGTGTGTGTGTGTGTGTGTGTGTGTGTGTGTGTGTGTGTGTGTGTGTGTGTGTGTGTGTTGAATGTTTGGAACCCATCTCCAGTGCAGGGGTGCCTCTGGTCTCTGACATGTTTTTATCTCAAGAGTGGGTTAGTTGTCCAGAGTGAATGCGTTGGAGAGTGAGCATGGCTCTCTCTTGCCCTTCCCACTTCCTCCAGGGGTGGTTTAGGAAGAAGGCTTCTTGGCTAGATGCTGGCTCCTTCCTCCGGGATTGTCCAGCCTCTGGAACAGTGGTTCTCAACCTGTGGGTTGTGACCCCTTTGGGGGTCACACATCAGATATTTACATTATGATTCAAGTAGCAATGGAATAATTTTGTGGTTGGGGGGTCACCACAACATGAGGAACTGTGTACTAAAGGGTCACAGCATTTCTCGAAGGTCGAGAACCACTGGGCTAGAATCATGACCTCAACTGCCCTCTGGTTGTTGTAAATTCCCCGTCCTGTCTGTTACTGTAGCCATGGAGACAGATGAAGATGCGAGCTTGGCTTGGCTCGCCTGCACACTTCAGTCTTGTCCTGGGTTCTCAGAACAACTCTGGATTCTGTTACAGTTCCATCCTGCAGAGGAGAAAAGAGAGGCACAGAGAGGTGCAGTGAGGACCAGGGTCCCTCAGGCCTGGGATGAGTGGGCAGCTGCCTTTGGGAGGATGGGGCCCATTTCCTCCAGCATCAGGCAGGGTTCCCATGCCCATGCTCATGACCAGGACAGCACATAGTTCCTCCGTGGTTTCATAGTGGGGTCTTTTGTTTTTTGTTTGTTTTTTGTTTTTCGAGACACAGTTTCTTTGTGTAGTTTTGGTGCCTGTTCTAGATCTCCCTCTGTAGACCAGGCTGGCCTCGAACTCACAGAGATCTGCCTGACTTTGTCTCCCAATTGCTGAGATTAAAGGTGTGCGCCACCAGCGCCCGGCTGGCTTCATGCTTTTACAGCTGATGCCTACCTGGTGGCTGGAGCAGGAATCTGAGAGCTCACATCCTCAACTTTAAGCAGGAAGTAGCAGAGGCTTTTCAGTCTCAAAGCCTGGACTCCAGTGACGAAGTTCCTCCGAAACCTCTCCAGTGACGTCACCACCTGAGGACCAAGTGTTCCAAAGCCTAAGGCGCATTTCTCACTCAAACTACCATACAGGATCTGGAACTCAAAATACTCAGGCTGGCCTTGGACCTATGGTAAGCCTTCTGCCTCAGGCTAGAATTACAGTTGTGAGCTGTCATACCCAGCTGCTGTTTTGAGACACATCCCACCAAATTTCTCAGGTGCTCAGGGTGGAGTGGTACTTGTCTTTAATCCCACCAGAGGCAGAGGCAGGAGGATCTCTGTGAATTCAAGGTCAGTCTGGTCTACATGGGGAGTTTCAAGACAGCCAGGCTATATACTGAGACCCTGTCTCTCCGAAAATAAAAATAAAATTCTCAGGAATGGCTGTGAACCCCCTCAGTCCTCTTGAGTGGTGGGTTTATAAACCTGTACCACCACACTTGGCTTAATTTGCTTTTTTAAGATTTCTTTCCAGGTGATGGTGGCCCATGCCTTTAATCCCAGCACTTGGGAGGCAGAGGCAGGGGGATCTCTGTGAGTTTGAGGCCAGCCTGGTCTACAGAGCCAGATCCAGGACAGGCTCCAAAGCTCAGAGGAACCCTGTCTCGAAAAATCAAGAAGGAAAAAAAATTGTTTTTTTTCTTTTGTGGGGGCCTGGAAGGTAAAAAGCACTGGCTTCTCTTGCAGTGGACCTAAATCCGATTCTCACCACTCCCATGACAGCTCACCACTGTAACTCCTGTCCTGGGGGATCCAATGACCCATCAGGCATAAGACACATGCGTGATACACTGATATACATGCAGGGAACATACCCGAATTTATTAGATAGATAAATGTATTTACTTTTTAAAGATTGCTTTTTTATTTCTACTAACATGTGTGTGTGTGTGTGTGTGTGTGTGTGTGTGTGTGTGTGTGTGTGTGTGTGCAGGGAGGGGTGTGTGCATGTGTGTGCAGTTGTCTGTGGGGACCAGAGGGTTTGGATACCCCTGAAACTGGAGTCACAGGCAATTGTGAGCTGCCTGACATAAGTGCTGGGGATTGGACTCAGGTCCTCCGTAAGAACTCTTCACCACTGCGCCATCTCCCCAGCACCCAAGGTTTCATATTTCACTTGGCACATAATCACTGTGCATTTGTTGAGTTCAGTGTGCTATTTTTTTAAACTTTTAAGATTTATTTATTTATTATGTACACAGAAGAAGGTGCGAGATCTCATTGCAGATGGTTGTGAGCCACCATGTGGGTGCTGGGAATTGAACTCAGGACCTTTGGGAGAGCATTCAGTGCTCTTAACCTCTGAGCCATCTCTCCAGCCCCCCAGTGTGCTATTTTTGTTTGTTTTGTTTTTTTTTGTTTTGAGATGGGGGTCTCACTATGTAGCCCTGGCTGGCCTGGAACTCATACGCTGGAATTAAAGGCATATGCCACCACATAATAGTAATAATAATAATTAATATTAACATTATTATTATTATTATATTATTATTATTATGTTGAGTCTTTTGAGACAGGGTTACTCTCTATAAACCTGACTGTCCTGGGCGGGCGGTGGTGGTGCATGCCTTTAATCCCAGCACTCGGGAGGCAGAGCCAGGTGGATCGCTGTGAGTTCAAGGCCAGCCTGGTCTACAGAGCGAGATCTAAGACAGACACCAAAACTACACAGGGAAACCCTGTCTCTAAAAACAAACAAACAAAAAACCCTGGCGGTCCCAGAACTTTCTCTGTAGTTCTGTTTTTTCTTAATACCGGCAATGATGTCCTAACTGTGTGTGTGTG